GGGTGGCGCGTGCCCATCCGTGTCATGCCTCTGGTACGCTGGCTATGGCTGGGGCTGTCTACCCTGGGGGGCGCTCTGGCAGGGTCCGGGGCCCTCCCGTGTGCCCTCCCGCGCGAACTCCACGCTAACTCGCGCGCCGGCAGAGAAGCATGCCTGTTTGCGCAGCCTGTTCGCGTGGCTCCGGTCGCGAGGCTCCCTGGGGGGCTGGGCGAAGTAGGGGCCTGGGCGGGGCTTGACCCGGCCCGGCTCCACTCAGCCGCCTCCTCCCACACACACACTAAGGGTGCAGGCAAAGCAAATCTTATTTAGACACTCAGTTATCCTATTTGAATATCCTGTTTGTATCTGCAGATCAGAGTTTAAATTAATTGCCATCGTTTACCACCACAATTAATTGCACATACTTCTTAGTGCAGGCATAAAATCAGAGGTTTGTTGAGGATTATCTGAAAGCAATTACTTACTCTTCTAATTTCAGTGCTGAATAGCTTGTATTCTTTCTCTGTATTGGCTGCTTTGACTATAAGATATTAAACCGTCTTGTTTCTGTAGTGTTATACAGACAGAGGTTTTAGCAGCTGAATAATCTGTATAATCTAATAGTATTAGTAAGCATTTAGATAAATTTGATGAGATTAATTTGAAGCTCCTGCTCAGTGTTCCTGGGTATCTGAAGACTCCCCAGGGATGAGAAATGCATTTGTGTGTGTGTTGCATGTATTGTATAAAGTTTCTGCCTGCTGCTGAAATAGCCAATGTTGGTAAGATTCCAAACCATAGGCAAACTATGTAGGCTTCCATTTTCTTTTTATCTCGCTTCCTTTTCCTCCAGATTATAGTGTATTTAATTCTCAGCAAGCACAGGAGGAAATAGATGCAAAATCACTTGATGAGATGGAGCAAAGCCTACTGATACTCTCCGAGACAAAATCCTCCATAGAGAGCAATGTAGCCCTTTGGAAACAGCAGGTGTCTACAATAGCCAGGGTTCACTTCCTCAGTTTAAGACGTGAGAATAAATCAGTGAGAATTATGTGAGTATGGTGGCTTTGTTTGTTTTACAAAATACTTGATTTCAGAATGAATTTTAGTAGTAAAAATGGTATATCTATGATGTGTATGTTAATCAATATTGGTACCATTGTATATGATGCTGTCATTGAATATTTTCTCCTGGTTCTTTGTGTGGGCATAGCTTTGGAAGAATTTGTTAAAATTTGATGGTGCTAATATAATATGATTTTGGTTATACGGGGCACATCTACAGGTGCACAGTTACTGTGCAGTAATTTAGGTTACTGCGCAGTAATCGAAAATTACTATGCAGTACGGGCTTGTGTCTACATGTGCGTACCCATACTGTGCAGTAACTATGGTGACTCACGCCAATTTGATGCAGGTAGCAAATTTGCACCCAAGTAGTTACTGCGTAGTAAGGCACATAGATGGCTTACTGTGTAGTAACCCTGTGTGTGTGGACTAACCTGGGGCTAAATTTAGTCCCAGGTCAGTCCACACACAGTGTTACTGCACTGTAACGCCTTTACATGTAGACACCAGTGTAAAAACCGCTTACTGCACAGTAAGTTACTGCACAGTAAATGCGCGTGTAGACATGCCCACAGGATGGCCTAAGCAACTGATCGCTGGAGAGTGCTATTCTTTTGAATAGTATTTACTTTCTAACCACGGTTGAAGAAGGAACTTTACTTTTGAGAGTCTTTCAAACTTTTGCTTAATTAACTGTAGTCCACGAGTTGAACTTGCAAAGCTGCAGTTAACAGTAGTATGTTTATTAGTTGGTTTGAAATTGTTCCCTGACAAACAGGTTATGTTAGTTGTTTTGAAAATAATTTGCATCAGTTGTGATCTGTTTTTACTGAACTGCACTTATAATTGTTTTATCTCTTCCAGGTTGTTGCTTTTCTTAGTTTTCCTTGTAGTTCAAATTTTTATGTTTTTCATTCGTCACTACTTGAAAAATGCTGTAGTTCCTCTCAGACTCTCCCCAGATATGTACTTGTTGAAACCTGGACAACAATCTCACAAGTACAAAACAAGTCTCCTCCTTCAAAATTCCACAGGTAGGGCTGAAAAAGACAATACAGGTTTAATGGATGGTTATTGTGCCTTTCATAGTGCAGATTTAATTGTGTCTTTTTAAAGTCTCGATGTTAGGCAATAAAGAACACAGAAAGTAAAGGAAAGCGTAATGTGCATCCTGGAGTTTTTAAGACTAATCAATGGATGGATGCTGGATGGATAGCTAGATAGATAGCTGAGATTTCTAAAATGGCAACTGGGCTTTATTTTCCCTAGTTAGTTATGTTGCTGAAAACTAGAATACTGTACATTAATATCCTGTGATGGATTTTTAACCAGCCCAGTCTAATGTCTATCCACATTTAATTAAAAAAATGTGTAGAATCAAGGCTGAGAAATTCTGCGTCCTTTTCTTCCCTTATCTTAGTGGGAGAAGGAAAATCGTGTTCTTAAGAGAGCCACTCAAAATATAAGGGTGGGACTTTCAAATTCCCCATCAGGGTGTAGCTATAGGGAAGGCAGCAAGGGTTCTGTTCGGGGGCTACTTGGGGCTACTTCATGGCAGGTACCCCCAGTACAGGGACCACATCAAGATTTTTGCTTCACCTTTACAGAAGCCTATGTATCCTGGTGAGTGCCCAACCTTAAAAATGGTGGCGGTAGAGTTAGTCCAATGTAGGAAGTTCACTTTGTTTCAGTTTCCAGTCCAGGCACCTTTGCATTTTGAGGTCTTATGTATTAGAGTCTATGAACCTGTTGTCAGTACTATAAAAATACTGTATGTAACAAATATATGCACAGAATTGACGTATGTTACTACCTCATTTGCCATCCTTCCATACCTGAATCTGTTCTCAAGAATAAAGTTATATTGTGTTAATTAACTCCACTAAAAATTCTATATATTTAAAATATAGTCATAGTAATCAGTGTGAACTACAGTACATCTTAAGTTGATGTACACCACTAGGATTTCCTTTATTCAACTATTAGTATGGATGCTGAACGAATGAGCTAAAATTGAAACAGGAACAACATTTAAAACATCTGAAGAGTCTTCTGATTTACTTCCCCGCATATTCCTATGGTTTTTCATCGTAGAGATGAATAAATTACTCATTGTATTGATTGAAAATGTGTTCAGAACATTAGTGTAAAGGTTCATCCAACCAGATGCCTTTGTGATGAATAGGTACCCTAGTTTCTTTCTTGTCTCTCTTTAGGATCAGATATTGATGATATCATCAGCTCTCTTGGGAGCCTTAACATACTGACTGAGGTATTCAATAGCAGTGATTATGTGTCAGCAGCTCCGCATACAGCAGCTTTAAACATATATAATTCAGGAAAGGTGAGAAACTCCTTATTTTCTGAAATACGTAACTAAGTTTTTGTGGTGCTGTGCTGGATCTAACTCTTCTTATATCATTCTTATTTTACTTTAAGATGGTAGTGACCATGTAAATGCATACTCTGCTCCTGAATATTCATTGTGATCTTTAATCTGGGGCTGGTGGCAGAATGGGGCCCACACCCAGGGGGGCAACAGCAGCACGGAGCTAGGGTGGGCAGGGTGTAGGTGTGAGGGAGGGTGTGGGGCTGTGGGGACCCCTCCCCACTCCCCCCCCTATGGTACATAGTCCCCAGGCAGCAGCAGCAGGCAGGGGTGTTTTGGGTGCTCATGCTCAGTGCAGGTGCTGTTGCCCAGTGGCGCACAGCTCTGGCCAGTGCTGTGCATTGCGGCAGGAGCTCAGCCCTGCTGGGCCGCCTCTATCACTGGGGCATTCCATCACACAGGTGCATCTCCCGCACTTATGTGCCACCGGAGGGAAGCTCCATGCAGTGGAGCCAGCTGCCTTCCCCACCCCCTGCCGCGCAGATCCCAGGACTCTGCCGGAAGTGGAGGGGAGCCCCAGCCCCTACTTCCCTGCGGAGTCCCAGGTCCTGCACAGCAGCAAGCGGGGAAGGCAGCTGACTTCAGCTCATGGAGCTTCCCTTCAGTGGCGCACAAGTGTGGGAGTTCCATGTGTACAACAGTGAGCCCAGGCAATAGAGGCAGCTTGGCCAGGCTGTGTTCCTTGCCGTGATGTGCAGCACTGGCTGGAGCCACGCGCTGCACCGCAGCAGCACCTGCATCCTAAGATATAACAACTAATACAAGCCTGCTGCTGCTGCTGCTGCCGCCACCACCTACGGGGGCTGCGCACCATAGGGAGAGTGTGCAGGGGTCCTCCCCCCACCCCAATAATTGCCCGCCCCTGTTTAAAGGGCATGCTAGCAGTAGTTTCTAACAGTTTGAGCAGATTTCTTTAAGTATTTTTTGCTTTTGGGTTCTTAAATATCTCAAATACAAGCCATAAATGTGCGCATCAAACTCTCTCCTTTCATATTAGACTCTTGCATCTATTTTCAGTTCATTTTATATTCACCTTTTGGACCTCACCAGAATTGGTTGTGCAATCACTATCTAGTATGGGAAAAAAGCTGAATATTTGGGATGCATGGATTAGTGTATAAATGAAAGTATTGTCTTTAGAAACTAGAATATGATTTAATGTAAAAGTGTGTGATAAGACCTGGAGAATATTGGATTGCAGCATTGCTTTTCCATTGCCATCATGAGTATTTTTACAGAGTATAAAGTATCTGGAGCTAGTGTTTGCTAGTGGTTTGTAACCAGTTCATTGTAATCAGTTCAGTTCAGTGGTTTGTAGCAGTTCATTTCATTCTCGATCTGTCCAGCTGTTATGCAGCAATAACACTGAAACCTTTTTTTTATTCCCCTGTAGAATTACATATTTGCTGCTGTATTTAACAGTAGTATGGTGCATTCCCTCCCTGTTTTGATGAATGTCATTAGCAACCTGGTTCTCCGCGACTTAAATGTGACTGAGAGCATTCAGATATGGAGCAACCCATTCATTCAAGTAAGTGGAGTTCAGATCAGACACAAATGTCACAGGGTTTAATCAAGATCATATAGTTGCAGCGAAATAACAGCAGCAGAATTTCAGTTACAGTTACATGTGCACGTGTGCTCTGTTCTGTGTGGTTAAGCATTTCTTGAAATGTAAGATCCTTCTTTGAGCAAATAAGAATATGTTGATCTAAATGCAAGGCTGCAAGAAAGTTCTAAGTATAGGCAGTTTAAGGCATAATATATTACTGCCTTTTTTATAATTTAAAGTTTCTCAGTTAATGAGATATTGCACATTAAGCACTGTGATTTTGGATTTTAAATCCTCCGTCCTCGTACATTTTTTTTTTTTCTTATGAGTGTAAACATATTATGATATTCAATCCAGGGCACTGTACAAACAGAAAATAGACCCTAGTTAATCAGAGGGATTTGAAATGGAAAATAAGGGAAGATATTAGAATTCAAGTAGGAAAAGAAATGGATGGCAAATCACAGCTTGTCACTTGCCTGGGTTTGATTAGAAGAACTGTACAGTAAAGCCTTCCTGCAGACTCGCCTCTAAAGGAAGGTAAGATAGCAGTGGGTAAAAAAGAATGATCGAGTTTTTTCCTGTGTCGGGCAGTGTTGGAGCATACACTCAGTTATTTAAGGGTAAAGCTAATGAGTGGTAACTGTTGGGAATGCTGGCAGGATCAAGTCAGCAGGTGATGTTTCATAGGTTGCCAGCTCAGGATAGATGGGAGGTGTATGAGTTGTTGAAGGGGCTTTAAGATAAGGGATGACATTCTACCCGTCAGGGGAGCTAGGATTGCACTGAAGAAGCTGGTATTTAATGTGAAGCTGAAAGAAGTGATAGAATGACTTGAAGTCAGGGTTAACAGGAGTGGGATAAGCTAAAAAGGTCATCTTAGAAGTATTCTGAATAGACACGAAGGAAACAAGGGTTTTACTAACCAAAACCAGTAAAGAGGCGATAGCAGTAGTCAGATGTTCATGTTTTGAATTACCATATTTTCAAAATGTTCTAAATATATTAATATTATTAACTGGACTGAAATCTGCTCAAAACGTTTCTGTGGGGTTTTTGTGTGTTGCTATTTCAGAATTCTTACTATCATTGAAATGTCCTTTTTTTGCAACTAATTCTTGGTCAGTCATGTACATATTACAAATGCATAATTTTTCATATAATTTTTATATTATTTCCATGGCAGACTTGCTGATTGAAGAAATATGCTTTTGTATTAACACATAGGCTGAAAATAAATGTAATGATCATTTAAAGGTATTCAGGTTGTAGCCGTTTTGGCCTAGATCATTTTAAAGATTTTTATTCTTATGTAAAGCTGTATCTAATGTGCCATTCTTAGGTACAGCTTTGTACAAGACAAGAGGAAATTATATGTAGAAACTATTTAAAAGAATGGGTGAAAAATTCTTGATGTCAGCTCGTACTTCATGATGATGATGAAATCTGGGTCGTTTTTCAGGAAACTGTTGATGCAGTGTTCAAACTAGAACTTTACTTTGAAGCCGTGTTGCTAGGAATCATTGTAACTGGAATTCCACCATATTTTGCAATGGAGAATGCAGAAAACCAAAAGGTAATTTGAATTAAAATATGCAGTTTTAGATCTGCTAAAATCTAAGTATCTGAAAAAAAGATTCTGGAATCATTTTGAGAGGATACAGCCAGCAGGTAGTAACTAGTTAATGGCTAAGGCACAGTGGCTGGATGGGTTTTTTCTGAAGCACAACAGCTTCAGAACCAACTGACATGTCGAATGTCAATTTTTGAAAGAACTAAAACGTGCCTGGGGGGTTGATAGATGCATATAACCCAAGGATAAATGTGCATGAATTGAATTTCATGCAAGATTCAATTCTATTTAGCTAAATAGTTGTAGAGATATAAATATGAGCAGAAAACCTGTCTTTTTGCATATGGAAGGAACTGGCTGTTGATTTGGAGCTTTAAATTTGACACTCAAGGCTCCTCATACACAAATGCCAACAAAGCGCACTATCAAAAGCCAATGGAAGTAGAATAGTAGAGGGCCCACAGTCCATGTTCCTGTCTGGTATTCTTTCCCTTTTCCCCCAAACTAACAAAAGAAGTTCTATAACAGATGTGAAACAACTGTCAATACACGCAGTATTTCCCATGACACCTAAAAGTTGCAAGTCAGGAATGGTTCTGTTGAAGATGTTGGAATCCTGCTACAGTAGAGTCAGTGCTCTTTGTGAGCACATTAGGCCTGTTTTTTACTCAGTAATAGGAAAAAAAACATCATGGCCACACTTGGCATTTTTTCTGTTACAGATCAAAGCCTACACTCAGCTTAAGATATCGGGCCTTTACCCATCTGCTTACTGGACTGGACAAGCAATCATTGATCTGCCTTTATTTTTCTTTATTCTTGGCTTAATGATAGGAAGCTTATTTGCATTTCATTATGGTGTTTATTTCTATGTTGGGAAGTTCCTTGCTGTGGTAAGTTTAGTTTTATTTATTCCTCTCTCTTTTCATGAAGGGGCATTTTCAAAGCACCTAGGGTCAGATTCTGTTCCACCTATTAGATGCATCAGCTTGGGTATGTAGTTGTTATTCTGTTTCATAAGTCTATGAAAAACTGTTAATACAAAAACTGGATGGGGCCGCTGCTGCCTCGTTGCTTTTTATGATACCCTCTTAAAGGTTAGGTGAGGAGTGTTTAATAAGCAGGGGCACTCATACATATTTAGAACTTAGAATTAGGTGCTAAAGTCCACTTAAATGCCCAGTTGGTAGAATGGAAACTAGTCGATAAAAATACATATGTTTGGAGGGTTTTGAGGAGGAGATGATTTGCTTGCTTTTTTAACACATTATTTTAGTAGAGTTCATCACAGTGAGACTGGTCTTGCTAGCACTGCACGCTTGCTTATTTGACTGTTTAATGATACACACCACATTTGTCATGCTGAATACAGCATTTCAAAGCATTAATGCACAAAAGATGAATTCAAAAATTGAAATGAACCTCATAGACACTGAACATTTTTATACCAGGTTTGCAGGAAGTAGCATTTTTACTGCATGCATACTTACAAAGTAATACATATTTCTTTTCTTGCAGATCTTCTGTCTTATTGGCTATGCACCTTCAGTTGTGCTGTTCACATATGTGGTTTCTTTCACATTTAAAAAAATTCAAAATACTAGAGAATTTTGGTCATTTATTTTTTCAGTGGTAAGTGATTTCTAGTTAATTTTAAGCATTTCCTAGAGCCCAAATCCATTTCTCTTTTCCAATTATCATTTGGAAAAGGATTTCCCGATATTTTAAATATTATCATCTACTCAATCTCTTTTTTACATGTAAAAGATGTGCAAGTAAATTACTTGAACATAAATATTTTTTTTTGCTTGATTTCTCTGTCTCAGCTTATACCTTCACCAAAAACTTTTGAGAACGTGTATTGCCCCTGGAATAAAACAAGCGACACTTGGAGTTAAAGTGCTAAGATTTAGATTCACTTACAAATAGACTCAATTTTTCCCTTTTCCTTGTTTTTTAGGCAGCTTTGGTTTGCACCGTTGTCACTGAAGTGGCTTTCTTCATGGGCTACTATACTGTAACCACTGTTCTTCATTATATCTTCTCCATTTTCATTCCAATCTACCCTCTTATTGGATGCTTGATTTCTTTTATAAAGGTAGGCCCTTGGAGATTTTTTAAATTTCAGTTATCTAGAGCTCTGGCTGGTGGTAGCAAGGTAGTCCACTAATATACAGACATGTTAATGTGGAAGTTTCCATCCATATTGCTCTGTAACATCACCCCATAGCCATTCAGTCAGTTATAGATAGCATCTGGCACTTAAATGTTTTTTTTTTAATTTTTTTTTAACTTCTTTGTGTCAGCAGAATGATGGTGTCTCAGATACTGAAAAGAAACAAAGATGTTAAATGACATGTAAATGCAGATTTCTCCTGCATCTGTCTGTGCAGTCAAGCTCTCGTTTTGCTTTGGAGATTGTACCATTAGGCGAATAGAAGTATTTGGCTTTGTTAGCTTAAAGTTAGGCAAAAGGCAGGACTGTGTTGCAGCTTGCTGACTAAATAAATGCATCTCCAAATTAGACGATAAGCTGCAACTTTGTCCTGTCTTCTTACTAGCTAAACAGAATAATAGGTAGGTTTTGATTTTGGTTCTTCCTATGGCTGTTATGCAGGATTTGACTCCATTACAGTGTTTTAAAAGTAGTACAAATGAGAAATGAATCAGGCCTGCTGTGTATTACTACCATTTTTTAAGTCAGTCAGCAGAGAGTAAATGTGCATGTAAAATATGCAGCATCCGCTGATTTAATTGTTTAAATATTTGTCACGTTGTCAGGTCTCATGGAAAGACCAGCGAAAGAACGAAGAATACCATAATCCAGGGAACAGACTCGTGATAGCAGTTGTAGCAGTAAGCACCAATTGTTTGCTATAAATTGCTAGTTAATTTTCAGTGGAAAGCCACTTCTCAAGGACATTTTTCTTTTGTAAGGTTAAGATTTTATTTACTATTTGTAAAAGGTACTAAATTCGCTATGCAGGAAGCTGCAGCAGTGCAAACTGCTGTTTTAGCGCGATTCAGCCCTACCCTGGGAAGGTAGAAGGTAGTGCTGGTGAGACTATTATTGATCATGATATTACGGTAGTATCTTAGGACAATGAAGAATGGGTTGCTTTTTTGCCAGTTGTAGGGCAAATGCAGAGTAGCCCTTGCACCACAAGAGCTGTCATGCAAATAAGACATGCAAGGTATTCACAAGCAGAGTACACAGTGCGATGGCGCTAGACAGCATTTTGTTCAGTTTCTTTGGTGGTTTGGGAGAAGGGCCAAATGGTGGCAAGTAGTTAGGAGGGATAAGCCAGATGGAAAGGAAGGTGAAGGGAAAGGGGACAAGAAAGCCTCTGTCGGAACTGTGCAAAATCCTCGTCATGTCCCAAAATCTTTTTACAGCTTCTGTGAAGTCTCTGGTGGTTCTTCCCCACAGTATCTTCCCTCCCCCTCAACCCTCCCAAAGCCATGCTGACATGCTATCCATGGCAGAAGCACTGTTTAGGTCCTGGGGGAGGGTTTCCACTGTTTCAGGAATCAACTGCCCCCCACTCCCCCCCCGGACGCGGAGGGGGAAGCTTGTATGCAGCAGCTACCACCGCCATTCATCACCCCGCACCGCCGTTCTGCATGCAGCTGCTGCTCCGGGAGCGGCCGCTCCTACCCCTCCCCCAGCCACTGCATTGTTTTAAAAAATCCAGCATTTTCAAATTTCTGACAGGTACTTGGTCCCAAGCACACCAGTTTTATGAGGTTATACTGTACAAAATAAAAATGAGCAAATCCTGTTACAAAGAACTTGGAAAGACCACAATAGGTCAGAATGCTTTTAACACTATGGATTTGTACTTGAAATCTCTTGGTTTAGCTCGTGAATCACATGTGCACACCTAACAGTGCTAACATTGCATGGTATCTTGTTGGTACCCTTGAAGGGATCCAAGGCACTGCATAAAAGCGAGGCACTGAGTCTTTCTGTTCACTTACCAGCCTCTCTCTTGAGTTTGCCCATTACTCTCCAGTTGAAATATTGTTTATGAGGTAGTTTTCCAGGTTGTAGTCATATTGGTCTAGAGACAGAAGGAATCAAAACTCATGGTACAGGTGACATCTTTTATTAGACCAACTAGATACTTGCAAAAATATGTCTTTATTTGCAAGGTTTGGGCACAGTCACCCTTCTTCAGGCATAGGAGAAAAGATTGTAAAAGTTCTCCTGGGTAGAAATGAAAGTTCATTTTTCGTAGGAGAGTTGAAGGTGTGGTAAAATCTCCTGTTTGGATCTGTTCATTTTATGAAGATTAGGCCCAGAGAAAAGTTGGAATAGTCTGTTTACCTCGTTGTTGTTTGGTGGCAAGCAGAATGTAGAGTCATATTTCCTTCTGGTTATGATGTTTCATATTTCACAGAAGAGTATAAAGAGGAAATGCTCTTCTGAGCAGGAATTTCCTTACCATATAAGAAATTTCTACCCAGAAGAAGGGTGCCTGTGCCCAAAAGCTTGCGAATAAAGTTTTTTGGGGGAGGGGGGGTTTGCAAACATCTATTTAGTCTAATAAAAGATATCGCCTCTACCACGAGTTCTGATTTGTTTTATGAAGTAGGCCCTTATGTCCTAGGGACTAGTGTGAGTTCAAATGTACTCATTTGATAAAATTTGAGTAAATAGGCCAAGTTACGGCCTTTACAATGTAATAAAGGTCTCTGCTGCCTGAGGACAGATTGAGAGGAGCCACTAAGAGGAGGAGGTGTCATGTCAGCCTGCTAATCCCCATCCAACATCAGCTTCTTTATAATAACTTTTTTCCCCGTTATTGTCTTGATATATGGGCTGAAGGGCTGGAAAGCATTACATAAAGATTCAGTTTGAAATATCCATTTGAAAGCCTTGATTAGTTTGTGGTCATCTTTATTCTGCCTAAAGCCAGACATGTATGGGAGTTGTACTGAAAAGATGTTTAGAGAGAGATCCCTTTTGGTTCTCAGAGCATTGGTTAATAATACAGTTTTATTGCCTTCGACTTGGTCGTTAACGCTTTCATTCTGGAGAGAGAGTTGACTTTATTTGATCTTCCTATCCACTGTAGTCATTCTGGAAAAGAATGATTACTGACAAAAAAGCAATTCCCCAAGCCCTCGGGCATCAAGGGGCTAAAAATGTTTTGACTGATTATAATTGTTGTCTATATTTTATTCTAGCCTTATTTGCAGTGCATACTTTGGCTGCTACTTCTGCGATATCTTGAGGTGAAGAATGGAGGTAGAGCAGTAAGAAAAGACCCATTTTTCAGGTCTGTTTGTGTTAACAGACTCTTGTATTGGGTTAAAGAAGCCGTTTCTTTCAGCGGTATTGAGAGTTAAATTGGGGAATGTAACCTATAGCAAAAGATGTATCAAAGATGCCCTTTTCCCACTGTACAAGTATATTAGATTAAAATATACAGATGTTCTTTAATAAAACCTGACTTATTATGTACTGGCTGGCATCTTTATGTTAATACCTATGTAATGTGATGTAGGTTTATTAATTTCTTTAACGTTAAAATGACTATCCTAAAGGTCATTAACTTCAAACTATGAGCCTGCATTTAGGAAATAGCTTAATACTGATTTAAAAAAATAAGCTTTTAATGTTGTTGTGTAAAGATTGATATTTTTCCCCCTGTCTTCAGAAATTATTTTACAGAGGGTAAAATCTGGAAGGTTCCAGAGGTACCACATGATGAAAATGAGGATGAAGATGTAAAGGCTGAGAGGTTGCGAGTCAAAGAAATTCTAACCAGTCAAAACTGTGAGGAGGTAATCCTATAATCATGGTTGAATTGCGCTGGGGCAGTGTGTAATTGGCTCCCATTATTGTCAGCAAATTTAAGTATATCAGATTTGAAATTATAGAAATGAATGCATAAATGGAAATCTAAAATCTAGATACTAGCTTTGTCTTGTCAGTTTGCTATATGAATTTTTTTGTAATATTCAAATACGTGAGTAAGGTTCTGTTTTTCTGTATGTGTTTAATATCGCTTAGTTTTAGTTCCCTTCACATTTCTTGTATATTAATTTTTTTTCTACTTCCTTTTGTCAGAGCAGTAAAATCTAGAATTTTAAACTTAAGTGTAACTGTGTGCCCTGGTAGTTGGTGCCTCTAGATTTTGGGACAATAGACATTCACACTATAAGTAAGAGCTAGATGCCACATCCTAGTGAGATCAAACCTTGGGGGAGGAGTCAAGCTGTGTAGTGTCCAAAAACGGTGCTTGGTGTAAGCTTCGAGTCATATTCTGCATCTATTTCACAATGAAAAGTGTCTGAATGTGGATCAGCTGCAGTCAAACCTTTAGATTGGCTTTATAGTGCGTACAGACAGTGGGGATGCCTCCTGTTTACCTCTATAAATGGAGGGCAGTCATACAGAAGTGAAATTATATCTGCTCTTTGGGGCCAGAGTTATGTTTTATAAGATAAGATTCTTTGATACTTACCATGAAAATCCTAATTGAGTGACAAAAATATTTTGATGTTGTACGTTTCTTTAAAAAGTAGTTACTTATTAAACATTAAACAATACATTATCTTTTGCTTTTATTAGAAGCCAGCAATTTTGGTCAGCAGTTTGCATAAAGAATATGACGAAAGGAAAGATTTTCTTCTTAGAAGAAACATAAAGAAGGTCGCGACTAAGCACGTCTCTTTTTGTGTAAAAAAAGGTCTGAGCTAAATTAGTTACTATTTTTTTTTCAGGAAAAAACAAACATTTCCCTTTTGTTCTTGAAACTCACAGGCAATATTTTGTGTGTCATTTTTATTTTTAAGGAGAAATCCTGGGATTGTTGGGGCCCAATGGAGCAGGGAAAAGCACGGTGATTAACATGCTGGTTGGAGATGTTGAACCAACTGCTGGCCAGGTAGAGTATGATTGTAAACGAAATAAAAACAACAGATGAGCTTTAATACCTGGTTCAGTTTGGGTTTGGGCCTTGACCCGTCTGCTTTAAATATTTTTCTTAATTTTTATAAGAACACTTACAAACCTTATGTGAAAATGTTATTGAGGAAGGGCTGGGGGGGGGTTTGTCCTCTGCAGGTGCTGATGGGAGATGATTCTTTTGGACCGAACGGTGAAGCGGATTTGATTAAATTTGTGGGATACTGTCCTCAAATAAATCCACTTTGGCCAGATGTTACGTTGCAGGAGCATTTTGAGATTTATGGAGCTATCAAAGGAATGAGTAAAAGTGATGTGAAAGAAGTAATAAAACGGTAAACGTTCATTAAATAGAGCTTTTTATATGCTTTCGCCCTTATTTTCTCTAGGTTTTCCTGAAAATGAAACCATAAAGGTTTTGTCTATCAGACTTAATGGAAAGCCGTTTCAGCAAGAGGGTATCATGGTTTGGAGTGCGAAAAATTCTGCACTGCTGTGGGTGGGTGTTTTTTTGTGGGGGGGAACTTTATATCACCTTGAAAATCCAAACCATGCTCACATTTATACAAGTCTAAAGGCAATGTATTATTCTAACTCCCACTTTCAAAGAAAGTATCAGTCAGTTTATAATGATGGTAATATACACTATCCCTGAGAAGTGTCTCCTGTGTTTGTGTAGGCAGACAGAAAGTATAGATAGTTAGTTCTTCTCTGGGACTTTGTGGCAAGCAGAACCCTTGTCTCTAGGCTTTTGTGTAACTTTAGCCAAGTCAAGCACCTGCTTTGATTCTGAGGGAAGTTAAGTGCTTAAATCTGGATGTAGGTCTCAGCTGTAATCTGAGTTTTGCTTTTCCTATCTGAAAAATGGGGAAAACAGCCATGCATTCCTTCATAGGGGTGTTGTGAGGGTAAGTGGACCGCAGATGATAAGGCTCTTCACTAGTCAGTTGGGGAGGGTGGATAAATAATTTCCGTCAGTATTTGCTTAAACTATTTCTTCCCCCATGTTTTTAGTATAAATTAAATTATATGCATCTTCCCTTTTGTCAAATATATCAAAGTGAGAGAGGTTTCTAGATGATGTAAATAATAGGGGTGTGCAAAACTTTGGTCCCTGATTCAATTTGGCGGAGATTCGGCCTGATTCAGCGGCCAAATATCCGAGTCGAATCAGAGGACGCTTTAATCTCTCTGAATCGAACTGGATCCCTCCAAATAGATTCGGAAAGATTCAGCAATTCGGACATAGATGCAGCTTTAAATGTTTTTTCTACATACCTCTAGGTAGCAGGCGGCTTGTGAGTGCTGCGATGCTGGGGCGCGTGGAGTGTCCCACGTAAGCATGGGGGGCTCCCCAGCTCTCTCGGCCGCAGACCTGGAAGTGGACCAGAAGCACTTCTAGTCCACTTCCAGGTCCTCTGGCTCAGCAACTGGTGCCTCCTGAGTCTGAGGGGGTGTAGCTGGGGTCCTCCCATGGTCAATCATCAAGCCGTGGTGTTGCAGAGGGCCCCCCAGCGCGCTCCCCAGCAGACCTGGAAGTGGACCAGAAGTACTTCTGGCCCACTTCCAGGTTCACTGCCAAGCATGTGGCTTGCCCCCCACCCCTTTTGAGCTCCCATGGGACGCTACATCTGCCCTAGCATCGCAGTGTTCACGAAGATGCGCTGGTACCTCAAGGTACGTAGAAAAAACATTTAAAGCTGTGTCTATGTCTGAATCTCTGATTCTCCGAATCAGCATCGAATCTTCAGATTTGGATTTGGCCAAATCGAATCAGGGACAGTGATCCGAATCAACGAATTGGATTGCTGTCCCCAATTTGGGCCTAATCTGAATCCGAATCGAATAGGGCCCACTTCTCACACTCCTAGTAAATAAGGTAAGATAATTTTAAAAGTCTATTTTGGACGAATTATTTTTAAACCATTTGCAAAAAGGTCTGTAACTATCAAAGAAATCAGTTTTTGATAGCTTTGTAAAAGTTATGATGAGCCCTAGTTTGAAGGTTAGTAATATAACAGATGGGTATTATGAGCTTTTCTTAGAAGCTGGTTTATTTAGAGGGCATTCACAATGGTACATAAGATTTACCAATATTATCTCCTGTATGTTTTGCAGTATTGCAAGTGCTCTAGATTTGAAAGAGCATCTACAGAAAACAACGAAGAAGCTTGGAGTGGGAGTTAAACGTAAGGTATGGAGGAGGTTTTAAAAGAAGCTGAATTCAGCATTTTCAGTAAAACTATTCAACAGTCATAAAAACCTGCTCTCTCTTTCCTCTCAGTTATGTTTTGCACTAAGTATGCTGGGTAATCCCCAGATTACGCTGCTAGACGAACCATCTACTGGAATGGATCCCAAGGCCAAACAGCACATGTGGTGAGTATAACACTGCCCTACCTATAATAGGTGTTTTTACAGTGATTTGTATCATCAGATAATCTAATAATAATAATTTCTTTGTTTTCACAGTAAATTTTGGACAATATCCTGGTTGAACCGGAAAGATTTACTTTTCTTTCCATTCACACGTATAAAACCTTGTTATGCAGAACAACCATTCTGTACATTTCAGAGGAAACCTCTTTCCTCCCAGGCCTTTTCCTAACTTGCCCTGGGGCAAAAAGATTTTCCTAATTCAGAACTGGTGATCAGTTTGGTCCCGTGCTTTGTGTGCAAGACGCATCAGCCAAGTCTTTAAAAAAAGAACTCTCTCTACTATATCAGTGAGATGCTTCACCAGTGCAGGTCTGGCCAATCTCTGATACCTCAAGGGAAGCTGGAAAAAAAACACTTCTGCATTGTGGCGAATTCTTCCTGACTCTGGCAGAAGCTAGCTGACCCTCTGAAAAATAGGATTTACATTGTCTAAATGACAAGTTGCAAGTATTCTAAATGTGTTCAGGGCACTGCAAGCAGTCCTGATTTCTCTATGGGCCCATGAAAGAAAGGGATGCCCATTTGGCCATTGCAGTTGTTCTGCTCCCCACAAATCCGTCTCTTCCAGGACTTTATTCTGACATTCCAGTTTTATGACCAGTTTCGATCCTCATTTATAAAAAAAATTCCCACAGAAGAAGTATCATGCTTTTTGTTTCTCCAAATTATGGAATTTCCCATCACCACTTCAGGACAGGCAATATTCAGTACTAGACTACTGACAGTTTCCATATGCCTACACAGTATGCCTTAAAAGAGTACATTTAATATTCAAACAGAAATGTCCCTGGTATTTACCTTTGTTTATTCACATTACTGTGCTCACTTTTTCCCAGAAGTTGGCAATCTGAAGTTTGGGGCATGGGTCTTGGTTAAAGGGAAAAATCTTCTTCTGCCTTCCCAAACAAAAGAAGCTGTATGTTCGATTTGCATGCATATAGCGTGCAAATAAATGTGGTGATGATGCTCCTGTGAATATCCAGATCTCTGCAAAAGATGGATATTACAGTCTTTTATCCAGAATAATTGAAAGGTTTCAGAAAGTAGAGACCAAGACTTGTGTTAGCTCTTCGTTCTGTGCTGTAAAAAAACTGTCTCCAAGGGCTTTGTGTTAATATTTTACTAATATATTTACATGTGACCTGAAAGGTACTTTTTATGGTTTTTTTTTTTATAGGAGGGCAATTAGAGCAGCATTTAAAGGCAAAGAGAGAGCAGCTATTCTGACCACTCATTATATGGAGGAGGCTGATGCTGTATGCGATAGAGTAGCAATCCTGATTTCAGGGCAGTTAAGGTACCGTAGACTCTTACTAGTTTGTGTGTATTTGGTTTCTTTGGAATGAAAGGAAACATGACTTCTGCCAGCATGCATTAGTTATTGCACACACACACATTCGGCTTAAACCACTAGCTGAAAAACTATTGAATTCTGCTCTGCTTTTTTTGCATGATAAATAATAATGTTTTTATCTTTTAAAAAAAAATGGTAGGTGCATTGGTACAGTTCAGCATCTGAAGAGTAAATTTGGCAGAGGGTACTTCTTGGAAATGAAATTAAAAGACACTGCAGGAGTTCACCAGATGGAGATGCTTCAAAGGCAGATTTTACACATCTTCCCAAATGCAAGTCGGCAGGAAAGGTAAAATTGACTAAATGCAGCAACAGGCTTCAAAAAGAAAAAATAATACATCCTGCTTTTTTCATCTGTGATTTATACATGATTATACCATGTTAAAAGTCTACATAAAAATGTTAATAGAGTTTTGGGGACTGAGGGCATTCTTGGAAATGAAGTCATGCATTTTTTTTCATTAGGGTTGTTGGTTGTAGTCATATTGGTCTAAGGGCATAGGCTAAGAAGGGTCTCCCTATGCCTGAAGTAGGGTGTTTGTGCCCACAAGCTTGTAGAAAACAATTTTCTGTCACATTTCAGTCTTGCCCAGGCTACAAAATGTGGATATAACTTAACACTTCTCAAACAACTGTCAGCTGTGTATTTCAAGGAGCAAAGCTTTGATTTAATCCTTTTTAAAAAGTACACAACTCCAGACAGTTGAGAGATATTTGGATTCACTCACTAAAGAGAAATTCTGATCAGTAAGAATAGAGCAGATGACTGAATCTCAGGTGCTGAGGAGGGTGGATCTGTAGCATTGAAGGAGTTTTAGAAAAAATCCTGGTAGGTGCAGCTGGTCTTGGCTTCTGTTAGGGATGGAACATTTTAGATGCTCTCATCTAAAGTGGTAAACCCTGTTTTCCTAGGTAACTCATGGTTAAACTGAACTGGTTTGCATGTTTCTAAAAAAAATACATATTCATGTAAAAGTTCTTGTTTTTTGCTTTTAGCATCTTTAACCAAGGGAAAGCTCATTCTGTGTCTTGTTTTTCAGTTTTTCCTCCATTTTAGCATTTAGAATACCAAAAGAAGATGTACAGTCACTTTCACACTCCTTCTCTAAACTGGAGGAAGGTAAGAAAAGTATCTGGCAGGCAAGTAAATCATTTTGTCTAACACAAACCTGTTAATTTTACTCTCTCTGATAGTGCATCCCATATAGCTTTACTCTCCCCCTCCCCCCCCAACTCCTCTCCACCCACTCCACCAATCTCTCTCCAAAATTCAATTATGTTAATCTTCAAAAATGTATAGGGATCATGACTCCAAGAACTCTCCCCTTTTAATTCTTCCCCCTTATAACATATTTTGTATAATCCTACCATACTGGTATCTGTAGGTAAATATAACTAGCCAGGCTTCTCTGCAGAGTGTCTTACTGAAGACTGAGAGTATGGCTGCATGCTGGGGTCCCCTTAGACCTCTGTATCTTGCAAAGAACGAAAAGCTCAAGGATTTGGGGACCTTGATGTTATAAGGTCCCAAATAATCTTCTTCAGGAAGAGCAGTGGTTGGGGAGAGATTCTCAGAAACAGAACAGTAGTGGGAGTGAGGTATCTATATGGGTGAGTGTTTTGATGAGTTTCTTCCTATGATTCGAGTTTTAAAAGCTTCCAAAAACCTGCAGGTAGATGCTTTATACCAAAGAGCTACCTTACCGCCTCTGGACTGATGATGCTGGTAGAAATTATTATTCATCTCTATTTTAGTTCCTGGTCTAGGTTCCCTTCCTTCTTCTCACACAGGAGAATGGAGATAGTAATCAGAGAGCTGAACTAGTTGGTCTTAGACAGCATCTTCATAACTGGAAAGCTGCTCTGTTCTCTTAGAGGAGTCAACAGTAAATATTTAAAATACAGCTTTGATTTTCATGTCTTTGATAACTGTCTGAAACTTGCATTTTTTCTACTTGTTTAAACAGCAAAGCATGCTTTCAATGTTGAGGAGTACAGCTTTTCTCAAGCCACACTGGAACAGGTATGTGAAAGGCCATGTTATTTCATAAATGAAAATAAATTCTATCCTGTAGAAAATAATTACAGTAAAAGCTGTGCTATCCAGCACCTTACAAGCTGACATGCTCTATTAACGGGCTTGTAAGTGAAAAGCGAAACCAGAAGTGTCCACCATAGCACTTCCGGTTTCACTGAGCCCCCATGGCCCGGGGCAAAGCAGCCTGCGCTGCCGAGCCCCCATGGCCTGGGGCATAGCAGCTTGCGTGAGGTCCCCCTCCCTGTTCCTTGGGACCCGCAGGAGGGGCAGCAATGCAGCGGGAGAGGCGGTGACACGCCGGATGCGGCGGGAGAGGTGGTGGCCCAAACAGGCAAAGACTCCTGTTCAGGCCGCTCAGTTAACCAGCATATTTTGTTATCTGGTGCCCTCTGTTCCCCAGTGGGTGCCGGATAACAAAGCTTTTTCTGTATATTGGATAAAAGTTTTGAATGATCATTTTCAAAAAAATCTGTTGAGCACATAGGAACATGTCCCATGGGTTTCAAAAAGGAAGAAAGAAAACTGAAATCAAAAACAAGCAACAGAAGCAGTGATGATTAGAACAAAACAAATCAGTATTGCAGAGTATTTCTAGTAAGTCAACATATTTGATGTGCCTGTGATTTGTGGCATCATATACCTGGGCCGATAGGACAAACCTAGGACTTGTTCTCAACCTGGATAGTCCAGAGCTTGTGGTTTCTTTAGGTTTCAAAAGAGCTTGCCCCTAAAGTTCTTAAGTTCTTGTGCTCAAGGGTTGGCACATGTGTTCCAGGTGCTGAAGCTGTCTTTTATGATGTGAGGCCATGACTATTTCAGTGGACGCATCACTGCTTGCAGTTTGAATACCCTTGCACTGAACATAAAGTACTTATGCCATTTTTGTCCTTTTTAGGTTTTTGTGGAGCTTGCCAAAGAGCAAGAGGAGGAAGATAACAGTTTGGGAACCTTAAACAGCATGCTCTGGTGGGAAAGAACACAAGAAGATAGAGTCATTTTTTGAACTCTTGAGCATTATAGGATTTAATCAATTTACTGTTCTTACCTTTTCACATGTGCTGAGCACAAAAACAAGTGGAAGTGTGGAAAAAAAATCAGATTTAGGAGGGAAAAAATGTAGATTTGGAAACAGTGACACTCCAGTTTTCACCTTCCTGGCCTTTAGAGATCATTATAAAAGGGGATGAATTCATTTTGAGGACTGACATTGCAAGTTTCAAACTCCTCATCCATCATCATTCTGTTCTCTCTTTTGAACTGGGAGTGGTAGATAACAGTCTATTTCTTCATAATTTCCTGTCGATTCTGGTTAGTTTGTCCTCTATTTTCCTAGTAATTCACCTCATGAGCTGGCTCAGCCAGTTGGCATGTTACATTGCTGTCAAGTGTGGTTATTATCCAGATTTTGAGTTTTGTCCAATGTAATGACTTCTGCACTGCTTAGCTTCTTTTCGAAAGATACCTCAGAAGTTTGGGACCCCACAAGTCATGAGTGGGAGCACTAGAAAAGGGGGCTGGCCAAGCATGTAAAGCATGGCAGATGCAGGCAAAAGTGCAGTGGAAATTAGTGACATGTCTTGACTTAAGCATCTACATCTGTGCATTTACTTCAAGCTACGGACAGAAATTACACATGAACTGGCATAAGTGATCTGAAACCGATTGAAATCTGTAACACAACAGAAGCTCAGTGCACATAAACAGCTTTCAAAATGGCCGAAACTGGCGTAAGATAAACCTGGATGGAAGTCAGACTTAACTGATTTAAGTTAAATCAGTTTATTGAACGTCTGTCCCAGATCCCCAACAGATACAAGTTAATTCACAGTCCCCCAGCATCCCATGATGCTTTGCACCTCCCCTGCAACCCTCCCTGCTTGCAGGGTAGACAAGCTACATGGTCTGCTCCAGCAGAACAGGAAGACATGCTCTAGCACCCCCACCTACCCCAGCTTCCGGCCTGAGCCATTGCAGGCATGTGACTGCATTTCCAGAATCAAAAGTAAATGTCTGTTCACTTGCTTATCAGTTCAGTATAGACAGTTTAGACTAACCTGCGAAGACTGAATCGATTCAGCCTCGGGCTTTTTGACCTTCTGTACTTAGCATTAAGGCCTGTCAAATTCAGGGCCTTAATTGCTTGACAGAACACCTGTAAACTTTGTCACCTCCGGGTAAAGTTCCTTATAGACTACATTGCAGTGCTAAAATTGAGCTACTAAAAATTTAGCTACTAAAATTAATTATATAAGATGATGCTGATTAGTTCAATATAAATTATTTGAATGCTACTGAATACTGGCCGTGTCTATATGAGATGCTTACTGTGTAGTGTCTCGTTACTAATGCGTAGTAGTGTCACCGGACACGAGCCATGATGCGATCCTGCTGCACAGTAGTAACAAGCTATTGTGCATTAGTAACGAGCTACTGCTCAGCAAGAGTCACTAGGCAACTGTGCTGGGACACTACTACGCAATAATGCCGGTTACTGCACAGTCATTTAATACTCTGGTATGCAAGTACTAAATGACTGCGCAGTGACAACTGCACAGTGGGTGTCTCATGTAGACATGCCCACTGACCCCTAAAAGTCTGAATGATAAGCTGATTTAAAAATCCTTATTTTACTCCTTGGAAAACCAGATCTCAGGTCAAATTTCCTTATCCAAAATAATCTGTCTGGCAAAACAAAACAGCGTCAATAGGACAAGGACCCAGTTGTGCTTGGCACTGTGCAAGCTTGAAACCATGCTATCTGTCTGAGCTAAATCCTACTTTTTCTGATTGTTCTTTGCCCCCTTTGGGGCTAGTACATCTCCAGCTGATTACTAATGACATGATCTACAGTATGAGGATGACAGGCACAGCTATCACTTAACAAAAAGCTTGCTTAGAAGAGGCCGTTTTGCTTTGAAGTCACAAAAATATTGTACTCATCACTAAACAGGGCATAAATAATATAGCAAATTTATCTTGGTATCCAGTCAACGTAAACATGTTCACATATCAATACAATATGGCATGTGATTACTGTTATGTATCTATTTATTGCAAATTGGCAGGGGTAATTTGAGTTGGGATATTTTATCGGAGTGCATAAACATTTATAATGTGTAATTTGAGTTGTGTTATTTTATCGGAGTGCATAAACATTTATAATGCATGTGTGTGTGTGTAAGTTTAAATGGGGTTTGCAAGGTCAGATAGGCTCTTTTTGCTTCGTAAAACTGAAGATAAAATATCTTTATGGTTCTTGAAGAAATGTGAACGTTTCTAGTTACGGTTGTTTAAAGCAGCATAACTAGTTGTTTTTATTGGCTTCCAACTTCACATGTTCTATCACATATTCAAGAGGTAATTATTTAAATGTGGTAACTTTTTAATAGTGAATTTACAGGGGCACGCACCAGTATTTTCTAATCTATCTTTGTTGCAATAGTAATGACGCAACAGGATTGTCCGTAACTTTCTTATTAGTAATTCTTGCACTTTCCCAAACCTGAAAGAATAAGCTCTAAATACATAGTCTTGTCACTCATAATGATACTTTTCTTTAGTGTCTTGCAAATTCTTTTCTGATAAGAGCAGGCATGTAGTTCATCTTTAGCTGCAGGAGGAAACATTCATCTTATTTTGTGAAATTAAATCTAAATATTGTTGAAAATATCACAATGCATTGTTGTGTAATTCAGTTTCATAATCTACAACTCTAATTTTAAACAACACTTATCATTATAGAATCATGAATTGAAATTCATTTCATATAAACTTGTATTGTCTGCACATCTGAAGACACTAGCTATGTGAAGTTGTATCAATTATTCATGGTTATATCAAGATTAGAAAATACCTATCTTTTTTCATTCCATATGTGTTCAGACTTAAAATTATGATATTACCTGTGATTTAGATTCCCCACCCCCCACGCTCCCACAGTTGTTGAGCAATAAGTCATGTATTGCTTGTGCAAAATTGATGACATTTTTAAAGGCCTAGTCGCATATTGGTATCAATGCAGATCTTGTAATTGAATCCAGTATGAGCAGGGATTAACCTCTATGTGTATGTTTTTTGCCTCTTTCTTTGTAACTCTAGTATCGCTTATGTGGATTTTGCCACGGATGCCACTTGGATCTTTGTCCTGCATGGTACTGAGATGCATTTGCTCAGGGAGAGTGGAGGGCTTTCAGTACCTTACAGGACCTACTCTGCAGCCAGTCTATCTCTCTGGATAAGTGGAGATGTAACGTAATGTAACCTACCGTAAAACTCTGTTTTATTTTGAAGAAAAATGCAAGTGCTGAATTGATTGCACTGACATGCTGGCTCTAATTCCAGTAGCAGTCTCAGAGTGAAGCTTTCCTGTGGAAAAGATGGGCCAAATCTGGCACTTACCTCGATGTGATCCTACTGGTATATTTTATTTAACATCTATATTGTGGTAGCACAAAAAGGCCAACCAGAATTAGGGCCCACTGCTGGAGGTTGTACAGACGTATCATAAATGAGAGTCCGTACCGTAAGGAGTCTCCCATTGACTGCAATCAGTTGACTGAGTTGTGCTGATGTGACAAAGAGCCACATTTTAATCAGTTTTAATTAGAGGAAAGTTCCACTGTGGTTATAACAAGGGTGGAGTTGAAAATAAGCACCAGATCTTATGGATTCTTGTATGCATTATCTTCTTCGCCTATTTTACTCCTTTGTTTCCTGTACAGCTGTGTAACATCCCATTTACTGGCATCCATTGCATTTTGTCTCCAAGTTTGTAACTGCTAACATTATATTCAGACCTTTACACTTGGTAACTCAGGAGCCTAGTAAGTCATAGACACTTTTCTACTGATCTCAATCTACATTAAATATGGCTCATACCTCTTACATTCTGTCATTTCAGCAAACCATGAGGAATAAACTCTATGTCCTTTTGATTAGATAACACACAATAGTTATGCTTTGCATCTGACCAACATGCCTTCTACTTTTTGCTTTTCATATCACCCTAAAGTTATTTTATGTAGTAAGTTTTAATTTTATTTTTCTATCTGTAGGGTTCTAATACATTTCATAGATTTCATAGACGTTAGGGCTTGAAGGGACTTCGAAGATCGTCAAGTCCAGGCCCCTGCACTGTGATGGTCTTGATTACTGTCAGGAATTTGTAGCTGGTGTTTCATTTTTCATGTTCACCATACGTCACTTTTGGAATAGAACAGATGTCCTTTACTCTTTGGTATGGCCCCATTTCAACATATGTCAGCTGTCAGTAGCTAACATAAAAGCTTCAGGAAAAAATACTTTCCTGAACCAATTGAAAAATTAAAGCATTATTGAATCTCTCCAAAGAATCATAGGTGAGAGGTTTGGGAGGGCATTTCTGGACCATTAAACTGTTGTTTTGCCCTTGGGACTAATCTGAAATTTGTCTTCCAAGGAGCAAGTTGTTTTCTCTTAGACTATGGAGGTCAAATTCCATTGTCTGCCTGTCTGTCTTTAATCTGTGTGACTTAATCTTGACTATCATATTTCTCTGAGTTTTGTTATCTTTTTTTTCTTTTTTTCAAACAACAAAAGTACCCCAAATTGTAGGAGTCCTTGTTGACTTCATTTTTTGCTCAATCTCTAAATTCATGTTCCTATTGTCATTTCCATCTATCAACTATGTTCACAATTATTCCAACAAGGTACAGCCTGTTAATTAATGTGCATTTTCTATTTCCTTCTTAATTTAGGACAGTCTCTGTACCTAGTTTTGATCTTTCTGTTATGTTTGACACCACTCATCAATTGGATTCTCTTTCATTTATACTGGCTGTGAATCTACTGTCTGTCAAACCATTTTGTAGTCTCATAGCATTTCTAGCCAGATATTATTGATGTATCTTTTCCAATAGGTTCCTGTTTTCTAACAGGTTCATCATTATCTAACTTTTCTATTGGGACCATTTTAAAAGCTTTACTAAAATCTAGATGTATTCTGCCCAGTACTGCTTACAATAGAATTAACCCTGTTTGTGGCCACTTGGTATTTAAAAAGATAAGTGAGCATAAATTAGACCCCGAGAGTCCACTGCATCCTTGGCTTTGTGTTTCATATTGTTTGAACATTACACAAAATGTTGATCAAAGACATCCCAAGTTCTTTCATATCTTAGAAAGAGTGCACCAGATTGGTGCAGAAGGCCTCTTAGATTACAAGAATGGAGAAGCAAAAAAATAATAATTCAAAGATCAAATAGATTGAAATAAGTTGGTACAATTGATACCAACAAAGCTTTGGGGACGAAACCTTACATTTCAGCCCTGTGTTCTGTTTTATTATATTTTTTCATGCTGTTTAGGAACTATAAATAATAAATGGAACCCAAACTGTATATAACTGAGAGACATTTTGACTTGGAGGATCACTAGGATTGGGAGTGGGGTAGATTCTTGCTCAAGTTGTCACCCAGGAATTTAACCTCTTTATGCCACAGCTTTTCCCAGCTGTAAAATGGGTCTAATCACTTCACAGGGGTGTAGTGAGGATTAATTAGTGCATATGAAAACCTTAAAGATAAATTTACTTTAGTAGTAGTAGTATATGGATGTATTTTTGTATGGGATATTTAATAACTCAGCTTTTGCTCACGTTATCATGAGAAATCCATATTTTTAAAATGGCGTTATACAGTTAAGTATAGCCTATTAACTATCTGATGCATGCTATGGTCTTTAGGACTGGCATACAAGATACATTTTATCTAAATGTTAGCATTCTTTTAATACTTATCCCAATATGACAGTCATGTACTCGATGAGGTATTTATGATTCATTTTATACATGGATAGTTTTCTTTTATCACTTTTCTGTATCTGTAAAATGACCAGAAATTATTTTTTCTTTTTTCCAGAAGAAAGTGCTATTGAAATAAAGATGGATTGGATTGTTCATACTCTTGTTTCCATAATATGTTTCTGCTGTACTACACATAAGGAACAAGGGGTAAAATGACCAAGTCCCACTGAAGGTCTATAGGACTGTACCTCCAAAGTCACTTAGATATAATCAGTGATTTAAACAATGCGATGTAAAACTCTTGGTAGGAAGGGCCAATCTGAAGAAGGAATTGGTTCTAGATGTCATGTTTTCTGAGTGTATCTAACCAACAGAGTATGGTAAATAGACTTGTATAAATATCACCACTATGTTCTTGTCAGAATGAGGCCTACGAAGAACATAGTGGGCTGAATGCATTTTTGTGTGATGACAGTTGATGACAACTTGTTGCCCTTAAGAGACTTAAGTGGAGTTTTTGGTTCCTGGAGCCTGACCCAGCTTTGTCAGATGAGTGCTGAGTTGCTCCTATCAAGGGGGTTTTGAGCATACACAGAAGCAGAGTTCGAGGCCCCTGGAGAATCTGGAGACAAGGTGAGGTGCTGCAAAGTGTTACACTCCTCCAGGGCTGCTTTGCATTTGAGTGAGGGCTTTTTGAATTGTACATTTGGATCTAAATTCCAAATCCTGATTTAGTCAAGAAATAGAGATAACTCTTTGGCACTTGAGAAAACTACCTACCACTTCAGAGTGAAGAACGGGGATATATGGGTGGTATATGCCTGCCTGTGGTACATGCTGCTTTTATTTCTTGTATCTGTTTTAAGTTCATAACTTTGTCATAACAGAGTATCCTTAGTTTTAGTTGTTTTATTTATTACATTTAACAAAGGAGGGGAAATTGTTGTCAAATTAAAAGAAAAGCCTCGTTAATTGAAACGTAATGGCCTCAGGATGGCAGTACACAGTAAGAGAAGAGACTAATGGTTGTTACAGTGCATTTCACAGGACTTATTTTTTTGGCAAAGCGGGAGGGAATGTTTTTCATGTGGGAGCAAAAGATTGGAATCAAGAGAGTACAAATAATACAAATAATGAAAAGCAAAACTGTACTGCTACATGCAGTCTTCTGTGTCTCATTCAAAATGACTTAGACATTTATTTGGGCACCTATACACATGCCTGATGCCTGCTCCAACCTGTTCTAATTGGAACGCATTGGAGCAGGTTCAATTAACTAAGTCTACTGGAGCGTTCTAATTAGAACGGTCCAGCATGCTCAGCGTCATGTGTATTTGGCATCTCCATGTTTCAAAATGGCAGCTGGGGTGCTTTAACTAAAGCTCATTTTGAAGCGCGGGACGCTGAATACATAAGACCAGCTGGAAAATGTCATGCCATCGGGCCGTTCCATGGCTTTCCTCCAGCTAGTCACACTTTTTTTCTCATTGTCCTTCATGCTCTAGAACTATCATGGACCAGCCTTTGCAGACTTTCAGGAAAAAGAAACAGAAGCAAAGCAGCTCACACCAGTGACATGCTTTTTTTTCTCTGACATGGATTGCAAAGTGAATTCAGTGGTACCCTTTGCCATCTCTGGTGGAAGAGCAGAGGACTCGCTCACTTTTGCTTTCTCCCTCGCTTAGAAGGCTGGAAGCAATCCAGGCTGTCCCGTTGGCCCCAGCTACGAAAACTGTGTGGGTGGGCAGTGAGATTAGTAACACTGAAGCTATTTTGAAAGGTTGGATGTAGCTCTGGAACTGATCAGTTAGCATCAAGCTGGCAAAGGAAACAGTGTTACAATACTGACCTGCCTCTAGATCTTCGTCAATGAGGTGAGCAGCCCACGTGGCTCAACTGTGGGAGACACTGGTAGCAGAAAGGACACTGCTGGGTAAGAAACTCCCCATTCCTATGTTCTAAGTGAAAATACTAATACCTACTCCACTTTCCCTGAATCCAGGACTGATGCTACAAGTTTTCATTGTATTTTAAAGCAAAGTGGCAACAAAAGCACTATCTCCTATTTCCCTGCTGGGCCCACCAGCATTACATGTGATGTTCTGGTAGGCAGAGCAGTGTGCTAATCAAAGGACATATCTGGGGCGGGGCAGTTTCGATAGACATGGATTTGTTTAGAGCTGCTGGAATAGTCTTCTAAATTATTCCTCGCTTGAATGCTGCTGACCTAGTCCATCTGTCTTCTCTCCCAGGTAATTTACCATTCCTTTATTGCTTTATCAACCCTAACATGAAATGCTTCCAAAAATGAGTCTTTCACTACTTCTTCATGTGAAGCAAATACAGAAGGGATGGCACAGGCTTAACAGCTAATAGGATTTTTTTTTCTTTGGACCCCCAATTTTAAAATAAAATAAGTGAAGTTGATTGAAGTGTGCGTTTGCATTCAGCAGTGATGCAAGTGATTCTCAAGCAGTTGTAGTTACTTGGTTTGAAATGCTGCAGCTTTTATAAGTTTGGAATTGCATTTCTTTATTTTGAAATGTGTTTCCAGAATGTCTTGACTAATCTTCAAGGGAAACTTCCCTCCAGCAGTTTAGGATAATGTGCTTTGTTAGTGTTTTGAGAGAGAAGATTCTGAAGAACTACCAAATGCAAGGTGCTAGGGGGAAGTTAGAGGAATGGAGTGGTCATACGGGACTTGCCTTTTTGGCAAACCTGTTGCAGGGAGAGAAAAAAACCATCCGTGTACCAAGAAACAGTAAAAATAGCTGCAACAGCTGGAAAGCTTCTTCCATGGAAACAGGAAGCTTCAGTGTGTTCAGAGTATTTCAAAAAGTAGATAATACATTGAGTTTGTTCCAAAAGTTTTGAAGGTAAAGCTGACTTTTTGCCTCACAAAATAAAATCACATTTGTAGCCTGACCCCTCTCAGCACCAGCCCCGCAAGGGACTCCGTACTTAACAGCGCCTATTGAAGTGTTTGAGAAATGTGCTAGTAGCTTGAAAATCATGCTGCTAATGGTTGATAATGTAACAAGAAAACTTGTGGCAAATGGGCATCCAAATAAAAGGCCTGTTTGAAATTGCCCTGGCTATTTATACTTGATTATTTTTCTCCTGTTTTGCGGTCTCATAGTCCATTATCTTTTTTTTAGCTTTCCCCAGAGCATGCTTTTTCTTTGGTCTGTTTTGATCTCAGAGTGTTACAAGCAGTTGGTAACATAAATGTTGGGGTCCTTTTAAAACAAGCAGGTCTAAAACTTTAAATTTTAACCAAATGTTTTCATTACTCTTATACAAACTCAAGCCGCTGCAGTGTTTACAACCAGCAAGAACATTCTCCTGTTATCCAAACATTGCAGCATGTTCTCCCTGTTTGTTTTATTGAGCATTGCCACATCATGCTCATGTTTCAACTCGCAAGGGATGAAATACATCTTTGCGCAAAAGACCAACACAACTCTAGGCTCCACTCAGTTGCTATATTTTAACTTTGCAAACTAATTGTGTGCAAGTGGAACTTTAATGATGTTCACACCTTGAAGTCTCTTGAGTTTTTTTTAAAAGGTGAAATTCATTTCTAGTGTAGACTAAGAAGATCCAACTGTGTGTTAACAATTAGAGCAAATAGAAATTCTGAGCCTTCTGTACCTGGAATATGTAAATATTTACTCTTCCAAAAACAATCAATGAAGGGGACAGTGTTTTAAGGTATTTTTGTCATCAATTATTAATACCAACTATCCAATCATAGGGATCAAATAATGATGTCCAAAGGGGAAAAAGGGAAATCTAACCTAATCACTCTGATTGTAGTTTCAATGACCTTGGAAAATGAAATCTAAGGTTTGTTCCTCTGCTGTGATTCCTGAAACAGCTGGACATCTGTTTCTGTGAGATTCAGTTACTACACAGAAAGCTTGTCATGTGATTATATGTTTGTCCGCAAAGAGAGGAGGTTTTCTGTGGAAAAAGCAAGTCCTTTCTCCCAGT